ATTGGAATTGATAGGTATCAGTTACAGCTTGAAATATATTTAAACAAACAGCAAAATGTATTCTTTCTGGATTATTTGTGACAGAATCTCATAAAATGATTTAACGTATAAATCTCATCTCCTTGTTGGTTATTTTTCTCAGTGCCAGCGACCCCAGAAGCCATGCAGCGGCATTAATAGGCTTCGGAGAGGAAAAAAAAAAAGAAATGCAAAATGCTTAGACGTGCCTGGCCCAACAAACTCTGGCCGGCAGCAGCTACAAAGGCTTTGTGTGCCATGACCAACGTTGCGTATGAGTAATGTGCGGCTTGCCAAGCCACCGTCGTCGTTGTTGTTGGTGTCTATCTGTCTCTGTTAGGCGTGTTTGGGTGTGGACTAGAAAGTAGTTTTCAATTAGCTCAGACCCGATAGCAAAAACCCATTGAGCAGCACTGAGTGCTTTGTTTTTCGACTTACTTCCCGCAAGGGTTTTGTGTATTTGCGAAACGCTTCGATTGAGGTATCAAATCGGCAAGGAGTCAACTCTAATTTATTTGGTAAGAAAAATACAAACATAATAGACTTATAAATTTATGACAAAGAAAAATACAAAACTTATTGTCCTGCGAACAATATAAAATATCAACAAATGCATTCAAAGCTTGCATATTGAATTATGAATTAGGAGGATGGTAAAAAAACTTAATTTTAAATGAATATGCTGGCATATTTACTTAACATATTTTCTGTTATGTTTATAAACTAAATCCATTCAGGGTATTTAACCATCGCTCACATTACCATTCCGATTTCTCCTTCTTGGTGCTGCTGGCCAAAGCAACTGCAAAAAACAGAATCATCTGCTGGGGGCCAATTCCGAACCGGTTGAGTGGGCATAGAGGTGGGGATAGAGAAAAGGAAGGGACTGCGGACTGCGGCACATTTGTTTTCATCGGCAATTGGCAAGTGAAAGCTTTTAGCGCGAATTGTGCACGGCAATCACTTCAAGTGGAGAAGAAGCCAGGACCGAAAGCTGCTTCCCGGAATCTTTGTCCGTATTTTTTTCATCTCATCTTCCCATCTAACTCTTGCTGGTGAATATCCTGAAGGTTTACTGATATTCAAACGAGGGTATTCTAGTTTTTATAGAAAGTGTGATAGTTGAGACAGAATGAGAAAGGGTGAAGTTATTTTAGGAAGTGTTTACCAGAGTAAGGATCTCTACAAAAATACCTTACCAAAGGGTTAATAAAAGTCAGTTTATCTCTAAAAATCTCCGCATATTGTTTAAAAGGCTTGACATATTGTTAGGTACTTACTTAAGCAATAATTTAGTAACTTCATTTTAATAATAACAAATTGTATACCAATTCAGCAAGTCTAAGATTACAATTACTTCAATATTCGCCAATTAAAACGCGATTCAATATGCCCTCTTCCCAAACAGCAGGAAGAGCATTTCCTTTCCGCCAGTAAAATCCTTTGCACTCCCTATCCCTTAGCCACCTGTTTCGAGCGGTCGAATAATTTCCCGCAAAATGCTAAGCAGATTACTTTTAATGCCTCGAGCGTAACGACTGCGGCAGTTAAATTTTGTGTTCTCCGTCGGATCCCTGTGTAATGCAGTAGTAAATTTTTTAATGGTCTTTATGCCCTGATTCCGCGCGTTAAATCAAATTCCGGCTTACCCAATCAGGCCATCAATTTTTCCCTTTTGCTTTGTAGCTTTGCTGCTTCGTGGCTGGCGGTGCTGTGATTATTTGAGCATTGACTCCAATTGACTGCAGGTCACCAGGGGGCCTGGTGGTGGTGTCCTGGCAACGCCTTGATTAATAAAGCTACACGGGCCCGTCGTCGAATTTGTTTTATTCATAAATTTATAACCTGCGGCCTTAACGAATGGCGGCCGTTTGGCAAATGTTTTATTGCGTACATAAATTGCAATTAGTCGCAGCTCCCGTCGGGATAAATGTGTGCACACGCATGTCCTTGTCGCCAGGGAGTCGCTGCCACTCAATTGAAGAACTGCCCGGCCAGCTGGCCCGCCATCCCCGGTGGGTTAACAAAACGTCAATTGACTTATTAATGTTTGTTGTGCTGGCGGGAAAAGCTCGCAAAAAAATGGAGAAGAAGGAAAAACTGCCGCCAAGAAGCGGTTGCCTCAATTGGGTTCATGTGGCGCCCGTTGGGACATTTCGGTGGTTCGCTTCTCGCCGCAGTCACGTCTGCATTTAATGTGAAATTATGACTTTAATGGCCATACAAATATATACTAGAAAAAGTTGGGTATACACCCAAATTGCTTAATTTTTTATATGAACACTTCAAAGGGTCCCTTTAACGGCCGGCAAAAGGTCAACGTACTCTTAGGGGACAAGAGAATATAAAATTGCGAAAATATCACAGACACTGGTCGTATTTTTCACAATTAGTTTTGGGTCTTCCCAGAAAAATTAGAATTTTTCTTGTAGCCTTGGCAGAAGGGACAACCTGAAAGGTATTAATCAGAGCTAAAGCTTGTTGTTAATCAAAATTTTAAGGAGGCTGTGAGTTCTGCTTAATTAAGATTACAAAATATATATTAAAACCTTAGAACGTTTCCCTATTTCTTGAAATTATAAAGAAAATAAATGTAAAGGTTGAATATTATTAATAATAATAATATTTTTCATGGACCGCTTAAAGGAGTCAAGTGTGTCAACTGACACTTGCAGCTCTCGAATATCTCGTGCTCTGGAAAATCCTGAAAAAGTGCTAGCCAAAGTCCAGTAAATGTTGAATGGCAATTTGATTGATTGACTTGGCCAATACGTGTGTGTTTGCTCCGCTTCTGTGTGCACAAGTGTGCTTTGGTGAGCGCGCAAAAAACCATATCCTGGATCTGAAAACTCGGTGGTGTGTGTGTGTGTGAATGTGTATTTGGGCTGCGGCTTCCTTTCATCCTGTAGGCAAACGCAGTGTAAAAACATTTAAGGTTTCAATTAAGTGAAATCCCAAACGGCCAAAAAAAAAAATAAATGGCCGAAAAAAAGGCCAGGGGACTCCGCCGAATGACTGAAGATGTCCGGGAATGAGGCTGAAATTTTTCAAGCAATCAATTTTGGCTTTCGAGTCTAAAGAAAGGGAAAAAGCAAATATATATACTCCTGTTTTTTGTGCTGCGAAAGCTGGACAAGGCCCAAGAGTTTTGGGCTTTAAGCTGGACCCTCCTGGAGCTTACGTGCAGCATGACAAACGATGGCTGCGGGACCCAAAGAGCGGAGGACCAACCCTTCCATCAAATGTCAGAGTTCGGACTGTAACAGTCACTTGAGTTATATTGAGATTTATTAGAGAGAAAAGTGCCGGCTACCATCATTAATTATGATCGACCGGCTGGCAGCGATTTTATTTGTTTTTCCCCCGAATTTTACACGGCTGCCGGACTGCAATTTATGCACCAGCCGCCTGCATTTCAATTTCACTTGCAGTTTTTCATGAACTGCCCAAAAGTCCGGAAGGCATTGGCAAAAAATGACTCTTGGCCAATGGCCAACTCTGTTTTTGTGGGCGACCCTACCACTCGGAGGTGGGTGAGTGACCCTGTTTCCGCCTTTGTTTGCACTGGCTTAAGAAATCAACAACTTACACTTTCTTTGGCCGAAAAGCAGCAGCCTCCCAGCCAGCCAGTTGTTTTGACACTTTTGGGCCAAGCAAAAGTTTCTCCTGCCAGAAAGGAGGCTTGCTTCCGATACGAAAAGTCCCGCGAATCTTTCTTGAGTCCTTTTGCCAAAAAAAAATGGAAAAGAAGAAAATAATATAATAAAATATAAGAAGAATAAATATTGGTAATAAAATGAAGTTGTTATATATTAAATATCCGATAAAAAGTGTAGTTAATACATTTTTCATATAAGCGAACATATTTTTAAATATTACTAACCTTTCAAAATTGTTCTTGAAACATCTAAAATCCATCGCCAAGTGTACAAGATAGTTCCCTAATTGTAGCCACTGCTTTTTTCTCAGTATGCAAGGCCATTGTGGCATATAATTCGACCAATTTCTGTATGTGTTTGTGGGCCTGATTAAAGAGCTGCACAACTTTCGGCAGCCATTGGCCCTCCTCCACTTTTTTGGGGACAAAGTATTCGCTTTTTTTGGCGTTTTATCTGGCCGTCGATGCTTGTGGCCTTACAGTTTCGCTTAACCCAGTTGCCAGCCTGCTTTACCAGTTCCCATTTCGACGGCAAATTTTATAATCAGCATTCTCGAAATAAGGAAAACTTTGCTATGTAAATTAAATGCCGAAACCCGCAACTTTGTCCTGACATTTCTCGCTGGTAACCCAGAAAAATAAATACAAAAAATATTTACGAAACAAAAAATCGTGTATATATGTTTGCTTGTACGTCGACGTACACTTTTTTATTGTCGCCGGCAAATAAATGTGGTTTAAACATGACAAGTCGCCGTGGGCTGCCAGCTCGTTATCACCAAATATTTTTGCACACGAAATGAGTGAATAAATAAGCCGGGAAAGCCGGGAAAGCCGGGAAAGCTGGGAAAGCCGGCGAAAAAAGCGCATGGGTGAGGAACACGGCAAATAGCTCCTCGGCAACTCGGAGGTGGATCGGAGGCACCACGGAGACCACAGCCACGGCCGAAAGGCGGTTGGGCCGCCGTTTATGGTCGTCACTTTTTTGGCCGCTTGTTTGACAAATAAAACGTGAAATGTCAGCCAGCCGGACCGAAAGCCAAACAAAAAAAGAGTAACCAATAAAAGCTTAATTAACTGTTTATGGCCATGGCATGTTAACAGGAACGTGCCGAAATTCGTCCTCAGCCATTAATCTCAAGTGGACAGGGGGCCCATCGTCCCCAAAACCGCAAAGAGGGGAAATACCCAAACCAAATGCCAAAGGTTTAATGAGAGAAAAAACCCTCAAGATTATTGATCATAAATTCTATTGAAGAACTTTTTAAAATATATTTAAATCCTTTCGAAGGTTCAAAGTAGTATTTCGACTACCAACCTTTCATATTCTGGGCTGTCAGCTGAAATTCAAAGCCCTCAAAACCAGATTCGTACGGGAAGCAGATCAGAAAACACTTGTATCTTGTACATTTATAATTTTGTATCTCTTTTGAGTAAAACTCTGGGCATCTTTCGCTGCAACCGCAGATCATGTCAGAGGCAGACAGCGTCGTCTGGAGAAAGTTCGAGATCTCAGCAGCAACGCCGAACAACAGTCACATTTCGCTTCGAACCGAACTGAAAATAGAGGAGATTGAGGAGCAGAATGAGCTAAAGAAAACTGCTGAAAAGCAGCAGGAGAAAGCAACGGAAACCGAAACAGTTTCGCAGAAGGCTGTGAAGGACGAGGAGCCCAGAGAAGATCCGGAGGAAGAGTCTGAATCTTTCAAGGAATTCCATAGTCGAGAAAGCAGTGGTGATACCAAGTCCTTAACCTTCGATTCGTCCTGTATTAGCCAAGCTCCGCAAAAGCTCAGTCACTCTGAGGAAGACTTGCCACTTCAAGAAGGCTGTGGCGATACAGACGACCTGAGTTGCCCCTCGTCCTTCCTTTCCTGCTCCTCCTATGAGCGTCTCCGGCAATCGATTTGCAAGAGAGACCGTCGCACGTCCACATTAAACGTGAGAAGCCCCGTTGATCTGGACCTCGAGCAGGATTTGGAGACCACCATCTCCGAAATTAAGCTTAGACATTCCTCTTCCGCCAGTAGCGTAATGAAGGGCAGGTCCCTGAGCCTAACCAACAACAGCCGCGATAGGGCAATTGGCTTTGAAAGCAACAACAATTGTTGGCCCTATTTCAGGCATTCCGATATCGATGGCGCCCTCTCGGCCTTCAAGAGGGTGGACGAAGACAAAAACGGGTATATATCGCTGTGCGAGCTGAAGAGATTCCTCGAGATCCTGGAGATGCCCCAAACTCACTTGAAGGCCAAAAAGATAATGGCCCAAGTGGTTGGGGGCTCAGAGGAGCGACTGAACTTCAGCGAGGCCCTACTCATTTTCGGATCCGTGAAGCATCGCCTGGTGCCGCTCAGGTGGAGGCTGCATCAGCGCGAGAAGGGCCAGTTTGTCATCAACGATAGGGTCGATGTCGCCCAGGTGGGCGTGACCGGGGCCAAGCTTTTCTTCGAGGCCAAGATCGCTTTGCAAACACCCAGATACCAGAGGGAGACGATCAAGAAAAGCACTGAAGTTCTCAAGGAACCCCAGAGCGAACCCTGATTCGTTGCGTTTAAATTTCACGTTGAATAACTGCTAAATTTCACGTTTATTTGCTGACTGACCTTGGGTCTACCACATAACTTCCCCATAAATCATTTTCCAATAAAACACGATCCAGGAACGCGAACTCGACTTAAGTGACCAATCAAAGGTAATTGGCGGGCGGCAGAAACAATGCCCCCGACTTCTGATACTGAAGCACTTTTCAATTTCATTTTACCTTTTTGTATTTTCTCAGAGGCAGTGCAGTTAAGTTGGCGGTTTTTTGGCCAAGACTGATTTTATAGGTTGTAAATATTTACATAGTTAAGATGTATTTATTATATATTCAATATTTATTTGTAAATTACTAGGCTTCATCTAAAATGTCTCTAGTTACCTCAAAGAAAAACTCTTACTTTTCAATACAGATTATTAAATCTCTGAAAAAGAAAACAAGTGAACCCGTCACCACTGACTCTTGCCTGTGTTTGGCTCTTAGCCGCTTTCCGATTCCTGTTGGCTGGGGCAACGACTCCCCGAGGAGCGAAATGGGCGCCACACACGCCAAGTGGCAAGTTGTGCGACTTTTCCGGAAGTTGCCCGGCGGCCTCCAGTCCTGGGGACATACAAATATTTTCGTGCAAATAATTTGCGCGCTTAACTACGCCGGGCATTCGGATACGTATTTGCATGCCCCGCGGGCTGCCACCAGCTAACCCGGCCCTCAGGCGAGCCCCGATCTTTTGCACAGGATATCAAAAAGTTGGCTAGCCAAAAAAAGAGGAAAAAGGAGCTGGCACGCCATATAATTATGCTGCCATTACCGCGGCTGGCTGTGTGCTAATATTTATAACTGATTCGGGCCTCGAACCGAACCGAACACACGCCATATACAAATTAAAACGAAAGCGGCCGCGGACGCTGCGTATACGCAATATCCCGGCAAATATTGTGTAATAAAAATCCAACTAAAGTCATGCGAAAATAATGAGCCTGAGAGCAGAGGGCGACGCGTAACCGGAGCGAGGGAAATAGTTTTCAAATTAAAATAAATGCCGCAGCTGAAACAACTTTTATGCGCCCACAACGGGTGATGGAGGGTGGAGGGTGTACTCCTCTGTACCTCCCTCTTTGCTCTCAGCCAACCAAAATGCCATGAAAGTAAATTCACTAGAAAATTAATTATGAACGACGATGGCGATGGCAGCCGGGCTGATGGTGACGTCGTAAATGAAACCAATGCAGCGTTTAGCGGAAAAGCAAGGGTCGCTGCTGGGTGAACGCTGTGGGGCGTGGTGCCAGGGAAAGGCATGACCAGCCATACCTTTTAATGGCATTGCCATCAATTTCGCTCAATTGCGCTCACAATCGCATCTAATCACGTTGGAACGACCCCCGAAAAAAACTAACTTTAGGCCAAGAGGAGGTACAATGGTTTCCAGACAAAGGAATACCTATTACTTAAGGGGAAAAACTTAATAAAAGGTATTTCTTGATGATTAAATGTAAATATTAAGTAGAGGATATTCAGTACTAAAAATTATTATTATTACCTAATTTATTTATAATTAATTTTCAAGTCACAAGCCAAACATTTACCAACAACGAATCCTACAGTTGGCCTGTCTGTCATACCTTTGCCAACTCCAGATACACTGCAGTGAGTAGGGACAACTTTTGGATACCCTTACAAAATGTTTATGGTTATTGCTTTATGACTGCCTCGGCCTGAGTGTGTGTGGCTATGTGCGTGTGTGTGTGCTTGTGGAGATTGTGAAAAGGGGAAAAGGGTCACGTGTCAGATGTCATTGACATGGTTTGCCTTGCCTTTAAGCGCTCGCAAACAAGCCAACACAAACACACACAGGCAGATGAGAGCGAAGGCATCAGCATCAGAAGGACGGGCGCCGGAAAGTATGCCACGGTTTTTGCCTCATTTGCGCTCAACTTTTTCTGGGTCCCGAGAAATCCTGCAAGACCTCCTCCACATTCACATCCACCTCCACCTCCACCCACTCTTTACCAATTGCAATTAGTTGATGTAATAATTTTTGGCAGCTGCGTAGAATACCCAGGATCCTCGAGCCGTGTTCTCCTTCCTCCACTCATAATTGACAGGAACCAAGATGCACAGGCCAGTTCTCTGGGGAAAGCGAGGGCCAGCGGGAAAATGAATAAATAGGCACATGTCAGAGCTGTCGGCATGCCTTAAATTCAATGTCAACCAGGGCACTATGTCTTATCCTAGGTCCAGTAATTCAAGCCCAGTGTGCTTTGCATACACCGAAAATATTATTCACGTATATTTTTGAAAGAATTTCTAAAAAAAAACAGAAGAACTTTGAGAAGATAATAAGATTTTATGCAATGAAATTTATATAACTTTATGAAATTTATAGCACAAACGTAGTTATATATAGATTTTTTTTGAGTGCATTAACTTTTGAAATAGGACCAAAATTGTATTATAATTCCCTCCTCCTCTTGTACCCTTTTCACTAAGTTGTCTCTGAAATATCCCAGGGGGTCCTAGAACAGAGACCATATCATATTCCCCCACGTGCGTGAGTTGGGCAACCGAAAACTTATATATCTATTTTAGAGCCACATTTTTGGGTCAACGCCCGAGTCAAGTGGCAGCAATAAATTTTATTGGAAAGCCACGTGTTCAGCTAATTAGAAATTGATACAATATAAAGTGGGAAATGCGACATTTGCTGGCAATTAAATTTGATTATTAAATGATTGAAAAACCAAATATAAAAACAGTTGTAACCGAACAGAATGTTACCCTAAGAAAATCATTGGTGAATAAGTATGGATATAATAATGATTAGTTTAAAGTATTACATATATTAAAATGAATATTTCTTAAAAAGTTTATCTACTACGTTTATGCAGAAACTGATCTCTTAGTTTACTTGCTGCCAAAAGCGAAACTAAATACGGCTTTAAAATGAAATAAACTAGCTGCAACGCTAGTCTAGCAGAATAACTACTATTGGGTACAAAATAACAACTGCAATAACAGCAAATAAGAAATTGTTGCTGAAATAGTTTGGACAAAGGATTCAAAAATTGCATTCCTCTTACAGGAGCTGGAAAAATGTGCAAAGGAATACTAATAAAGTTACAAAACAAATTAAATTTTCTCTTTTATTCACAAAATAAACCAACTAACTAGTTAAACGAAGACTTCATAAAGTGCAGTGGCTTTTTATATTAAAGGCTTTTGTTTAATATAATTTAAGTTCCATAAGAATTCGTATTTGTCCAAGTTTCTTTGCTACATGTTTAACTGCGTAGAAACCCACAACTCAAGATTCCATGTTTAAGAAAAACTGTTTAAGAAAAACTGTTAAAAATAGGAGGGTGAGCATCCTTTGAAGGGGTACTAAAACCAATCGTTGGCATTCCAAAACACCCCAGATCCTGCGAGTTTTTCCTCCCCCAGCTCCATTTTACACTTGCCTAGTTGATGTTTTTCTTAACTTTATGGCAAGAGTATTTTTGTTAGCTCGCAGCTCCGGCAAAACTGCAACAAGAACCCAGCTTTTCGATTCAATTTCCGTGTTCACAATGCGCTTGTTGCTATTTTGCATACTCAGGAAGAAACAGGGATTGGGTTTCGGTAGGGGATTTGCATGGGCATGGACATGGGCATGAGGATGGAGTGGGAGTATTGAAAACATTGGCAGCTTCTGGCGTAGGCGTGACTGGGTTCCTTGTTCTTCGCTGAAAAGTTTCCTTCGCCCTTCGTTCTTAGCCCTAAGTAATTCGCAAACAGTGCAAGATTTATGCACTCGACACCGGCAAAAACTTGAGCTTTAGTTGCATTTCGCAATGTTGTTGAAATGCGAGTGGGAATTAAGTGGGTTTTGAACTGCTACTTGGTGAGTATAAGACTAGGCTAACAGGGTATCTGTTGAAGATAGGTAGAATTTTATATATATTTTTAAAGAATTTTGTATAAATATCTTACAACTTATCCCATATTGAGTAAGTGTAAGGATCTCAATTCCTCCTTAGACCAACAGAGTCAGTTCCGCTTTACCCTTGGCTTGGTGCTCCGCAAGAAAACAGAAACTTCCGGCTGCATATCAATAACGAAATAAACTTGTTATGTACCTAAGCTTTGCAGGAGGAAAATCTTGGCTAAAATGTTCGCCAAGATTGAAGAGCATCGTTTGGCTGAACAACTTTAACCCTCTGAAAGGAAGCTTCAACAAGACAACACAACTAAAGACAAGACAACTTAAATGAAATTAAGTGTAAAATTATGAAAGTAGCCCGCTAGCTTACAAATGTCATGATGACCGACAAAAAGAAGTGAAAATTTAGGAGGTTAAGGAACAAAGAAAATCTCCAAGCCGCCAATCTATGCAACATTCATTTTTCTTTTGTCATACATAGTAAAAGCCAAAGGAGCTTGATGTTGAAAAATTGAAAAAACGAGACCCAACGCAGGGACAGGACTCGAGAAAAAAATATGAAGAAAGTAGGGAAATGGGCGGAGGAGATGGAAAGTCTTCGCCCGACATGCTTAACCCTTTGCCCTCGAGTCCTTTTTTGCTCCCATTCCTTCAGATGATACTGAAAGGCAAGTTTCATAATGATAATAATTTTGTGCATGATTTATGAATGAACAAGTTTTATGGCCCCGAAACGAAACGAACCAGGCCAGCGTCTTAGCCGGTAAAGCCAGTGCAAACGTTAATTTCCAGGGAGTGGGGCTGACCAGAGGTCCTGCGTCCTGAGTCCTTCGTCCTCGAGACCGGCCCACCTTATTGCACTTTAATATTTATTTCGACTTTAGAGCATAGTAAATTTGCATCTTTCAGCGTTCAAATTTCCACGAGAGACCAGGTGGAGCAGGTGGAAAACTGGGTGCGAGTCAACTCTGTGTGTGTGTGTGTGTGTGTGTGTGTGTTAACCCTTTGAAAATCATTTCGGTGTGAAATTGTGTCCGCCGAGGTAGAGAGCCGAAAGTGAGAGAGAGAGAGTGAGCACGTGAGCTCATTGAAAATGCGCGCTAGTAAAAGTTCCTCCTACCCGAGAAGCAGTGAAAAGCTGACTGGGAAAATCGGAGGCCAGGGGGTGAACATGCAGGGCCGAAGGTAATGCTCCGGTACTTGCTTTGGCCCC